CTGTGTCTTAGGATTTTTCAAAAAAAGAAAAAAAACTGCTCAGAGTGCATGGCCCGTTGCAGAAAATGCTACGGGGTTCAATTGGAGTTCAAAGCAGAAGAATGTTTTTTGAAGACTTGAAGTGAGCTTTCTCTCGGTGTCAGCTTAAAAGTTTCTGCCTGGGGAGTAATTTTTAGTTAGCGGCTCATGAAAAAAAATTACTTCTTACTATCGCTTCACGTAAAAATAAAAAATAAAAAACCTGTGGTCTTATGCAATATGGTGCAAAACATAACAACTTTCAGATCAAACATAACTGGACCAGAACTGCGGTAACAAATCGAGAACCAGAAGCAAAATTTTGAAACCCAGGAGTTACGATTTTCTGTCCTGGATGTTCATCTCGGATTTTGCTCGATATTTGGACTGATGGTAATTTGATTTGGGCTAACACTTGAAACGAATAAGTCCTAGTTTGATCAGAGCTGTCTTTGGCCCAAATACATCATCCTCGAGCTTTTGTTTTTTTAAAAAGCCGAAACAACCTATTTTATGTTTCGAAAAATGTTCTCCTCTATTTTTGGTTGGATCAATAGTTTGTAAAAAAAAATATATATATATCCATGACAACGATAAAGCAGTATACATTTGAATTTAATTCCTTTTTTTTAAGTGAATGCTTTACTTTGGTGGCTTGTTTTTGCATTATCGGCTGTTTGTAACTTTGAAGTTGAGACGTTTCTTTTGCCCCGTCGTGGTTTCTTTGGCGATATTCAATTTGGAGCTCCCTTCAAATCCTTCTCTTTAGGAGCACGTGGCCAGATTTGGGTCTCGGAAATGGATCGGGGCTCCTGTCGTCCGTCCTTTTTTGATAAAGCATATGGTCAGGAGTTGCTCGGTTGACCTTGCTGGTCATGCTGCTATAGGCCCCTGACCACCCAGGACGCCGAGCATCTTTCCCTCATTCCGCTCCCTTTACCCTGCATGGCTATGCATGTTATTTTTTGTTGTTGTTCACTTGTGTTTCCCTTTCCTTCTCAGCGGGTATCCCTTGCCTGGTGATATGGAACTTATTGACCCCTCTTTTTTTTCCCTTCCTCTCAACCCCCGACTGTTATGGACAGATGGTCACGCTCTACGAGTCTAGTTCTGCTGGAGCTTTCTGTCTTATCAAAAGGGAGTCCCCCCCCCCCCCCGTTCGCAGTCTTTTCAAGAATTCTCAGGACTGGGAGTTGAGCAAGACGGAAGATTTAGTGCTATCCACTGGTTTGGCAACTTTTAATGAACCTGTATTATATGAACAGGAAGTAAGTTGTACTTCGATTAATTGGATTATGAACTGGACTTTATCTTTAGTGTGCCTTGCCAGTTGTCTGTACGTGTCTTTGAGTTCTCACATCAATAGTCACTAGATTAAAAAAGATAAGAATTGAGTTTAGTGTAATTTGGTTTCTTTAAAAATACTTCAAGAGTAGAAAAAGGCATGGTTCGGGCAGCAAGACATGACCCAGTAAAACTCTGCTTCTACCACCTTCTGAAAAAAACTCACGTCTAACTTCTTCAAAGAGGTGGCTGGAGTTTATCACCATGTCAGAGGGGAGTTTATGCTCCGTTGTTGTCAGAAACCATCTTCACGTCTTCTTGTATATTCTTTAATATCTTTATATTCACAAGCTCCTTCAGCTCTCTCATCTCCTTCCTGCTTTCAACTCATAATTAACTCAGAAAAAATACATCAAGGGGGTCTCGGTCCCTAAGATGGCGTCACGAAGACATAAGCCAGGTATTTGTCTTTTTGAAGTATAATGAAGTTTAATGAAGTTTAATGCGGGTGTGGCACAACATCCAGCTGTGTAGATTAAATTCAAAATCAAACGGGTTGCCATGAAAAAATGTTAATTCTTATTAAAGAGCTATAACAAAATACAGCTGGGGGACTTTGATCAAACAAGATGGTGCAGCTGGGTTTCACGTTGTATTTGGCAAAAAAAACCCCACAACTTCTCTCTCCTGGATGTGGCTGGAGTTAGACATCTTTGTCTTTTTGTGGAGTTACTCGTGACCACTGGACGCCGGAAAGCTAGATAAAGCTAAATCCAATGTTGACTGAACAGAAAAAAGTGAATGTAATTATTGAATTGTTTCTAAAAAATGACAAAGAGTGAAGATAAACGTAAACTAACAACACAATATTGACCTTGAACACTTTTTGAGGGAGCATTTTCAGTGTCAGACCGCCCAAAAATCCCTTAAATCTCATGCGAAAAGACTAAAGTTCTGTATTAAGATGTCCATTGATTAGATAATTATCAAAAAGCAATTGTTTTGGCCTAAATCTACCTCAGCCAATGCAATATAATGTAGTGTAACAATTGTAGTAGTATGTTAACCTTAGTGTACAATGTTCGCTTTGGAGACCTAAAGTAGCGAGTGATGGATCACATAAAATATGTGTGGCAACTGCAAAATGTATCTTGCCAGTGATACAACCGGTAAACATCCTGGGATAAGAAATGTTCTGCATGACAGGCAGAAATATGTAAAAAGCAAAACTGGTAACATTGAATTCGTCCATTCGCTACTTCAGCTAGCCACGTGGCAAACCTAATGATGTGTTTCCAATTTTCAGATTGAATAAATCATGCATACTGTATCAATTCTCAATCCTAAAATTATATACCTTGGCTAACTAATGGCTCCCAAATGACAGCTACTTTTGATGTTGCTATTTTTCTTTCAGTGTTTTCAGCCAATTTACGGAAAAGATGTGTGACCCTGCATTGAAAAAATCCATATACCGGGCAAAAACGACACCGCTCTCGATGAGGCAACAGAGCTGTTTTGTAAATTCATGGATTCCATCCAGCAGCTGCATTCTGCTTCTACCTGCTGAGATTTCCACGGGGAAGAGGGGATTTTATACTCAATACCCATCTATCCATCCCCCAAGCCCGCATGTGTCTGCACTCTGTCAGAAGCAAAAAAAATAAATAAAAAAATACAGTAATCAGTGTGCAGGTACACACTGCGCATATATTTTTGACTGGAGAGAATTTCTAAAATGCAGATAAGAGCATACTCTTATATCTTATATTTCTCCACCATCCATATGACTTCTCGCATTCGAATTAGACAAATTGGTTTTCTTACTTGGAAGAATTGTATTTACTTTCCCCCTACCTGCCATCGTGGAAAGAAAAAAAAAGCTCACTTTGAATCCGGTATTTGTAATAATTCTCTGTCTCATATAGTCTGGATTACCTGTGTGATTGCTTTCCAGGAGAATTCCCCATGCGGCATTAGCAACACCGCTCGTCACAGTCGATGGAAGCACCCCCACTGCTCTTTTCTACTGTGTCGAGGATGCCTGCAGATATTAAAGCTATACATGATGCTGCTTGTCTGAGTCCATTAACTTTGTCTTTTTAATGGCTCCTGCGAGTGAGGAATCGCATGACTGTGTGTGGACACGGTAATAAGGCTTGCTGGTAAAGACTCGGTGATACATTGGTCATGTCTGGATAAACACATGTGTTGACAGCCTCGTCCTCCCAAGGATGGCTCGGCTACACACACAGGCGTGTGCACGAGGACGGTGATTTGAGTGGAGCTGACAGGTTTGATCAAAGGTGATTGATTGGAAGACATGATGCATGGATTCACATCACAGCCAACACCGCGGGGTTAAGGGGTTTGAAGGCTCCCGTGCTAGATGAAGACGCCCTGCGCCTTCCTGCTCCCATTTTCTTAACACGCGGCCCATTACAAATCATATTTGACAATGGATATCGACCGTTTGAATAGGAGGAATCAATGCTTGTTGATTGGGCAGAGAACAGAGGCCCGTGACTAAGGTTTAGCGTTTTTTTAACTTTATGCAAGTCAAAGGGTTGCAAGAGCTGTTTAATTCCGGTCTCCTCGTGTGGGGATACTCATCGTATCGAACAGTTCTGTTCACCATACCTTATTTATCAGTGTTCCTACTGATTCTGATTCAGGAAGTAAATTGGTCTGCTCCTCATTGCATCTCCACTGTTTGCCGACGTACTATCTAAGCATTTACTGCCATCTGGTGCTTTTTGCATGCAAGTGCAAGCATGCTCAAAACTTCATTCATTTTGTGTCATGAAAAGGTGATTTGTCGTCTTTTCACAAATAGCGAGGCCTGGACATTAATTTAGGATGACCCGTTTAAGTCGATTCTGAGTTTACACTTGGCAATAAACGAGCTTGTGTCTTGCGGTACGTCACCGTGACTGGAAACAAACCTTGCTCCTGGTGCACTGGAGTAACTGGCTTAGGATGGTTCATCAGCTGTGTCATAGTTTTGGGACAGATGTAACTTAAATGCATCTATTATTACGGTAGGGAACATAAAGTCTGGAACAACCGGATGTCATCGCTGATGAGGAGTGGATCAAAAATGTCAGTGATCATTCGGTGTGCAGAAATGAATGTAGAAAGCAAGTGAAAGCTTTTTCTCCTGTTGAAACCGAGAAAAAACTGTTCAGTTTTCCGTCAAATCTCCGTCAAACCTGGTTTATGCAGTGAACACTTGGTAAAAATCAAAGTAAATCATCTTTCTAGGAATGTATTCATGACATTTTGAGAATCAAAGAATACTTATTGTGAACTCAAAATAATCATTTGCTTATAATATCTGCATTTCATGACTTAGACTTGGTGTCCCCCGAAAAGCTCTGCTTGGGAAATATAAAGGTTGTAAGAGATGTGGTGGACCTATTATCTACCATTACAGGTCATGTGACGACATCCTGACAAGCATGATCTTCTGTCCACTGCATGATGTTTACCTGGTTTAAAGTTTAACTTGCTGGTTTAATAAATACAAGCCCACAGTGCCGAGTCATAGGCTCAGTGACATCTAGGCTACACACATTTCCCCCCGCTTGCGGCTTTCTACTGGTGGGATTTCTTTGTGTGGAATTCCAGCCTCTCCATTGAGCCAGTCTGTGAGCTGGGACCTGTGCGGAATTTTAATCCCCTTTCGGAGCAGAAACATGGCTGTGCGGCTCTTCGAGGGTAAGGACCACGCAGCCTCGTACCTTCGGTTCAGAGTGGCACCTCGCGAACTGATCGATAGGATCTTTGGCTTTATGGAGAAGAGGGTATGTGTGATGAAGCTCTACCATTTCGACCGGGTTGTAGCTGTTGCGTGTGCTATTCAATCCATGTTTGACGCTTATCTTTGTGTTCCATAGTTCAATTGTTTCTACATTTCTTGGCGACGCCTGCTCATATATGATAGAAACACTGAGGGGTAGTATCCGCTTGTTCGCTACTGTGTGAGCTTTGCAAGACGTTGTTTTGTTCAGACGCCGAAACCGTTCAAACTAGCCGTGGACGTGGGCTGCGGTTCAGGGCAGGGGACGGTCTTGTTGGCCCCCTACTTCGCCGAGGTGGTTGGAACAGACATCAGCCCTGCCCAGTTAGAGGCGGCAACCGCAAACCAGAACCCGCCAAATGTCTCTTACAGGTGATCGGGGGATGGCCTCACAACTCAAACTCACATTTTGCTTCAATGTTTAGTTCTAAAGACCTATTGCAACACACCACGCAGACCAAAAAAACATCCAAGTTTATGTATCCTCACATTCTCGTATAGTTTTGCGTCCACAACCTTTATTGGCGTGTCCCCATTGGCGTTCATCTGACCGCAGACAGTGCCCGGCGGAGGAGCTGCCGTTGGCGTCCGGGGTAGTCGACCTCGTGACGGCCATGACAGCCGCCCACTGGTTCGACCACCGGCGGTTCCTGGTGGAAGCCGATCGGGTGCTCCGGCCCGGAGGCTGCCTGGCCCTCCTGAGCTACACCATGGACATGGCGCTGGAGTACGGGGACATCTCTGACGCGCTCAATGACATCTGTGAAGAGGTTCACCTTCGCTTCCAAGGCCTTAATCCCAGACTATGACTATGTATTAGGCAGAAGAGGTGGTTTTTCAGACATATCTCTGGTAAATTTATTCAAGTATTTTTTTATCTATTCAATAGAAAAAGTGTAAGGGGGTTTTTTGGTCCCTAACCGGAGTATTTTGAGATATTTATTCTGAGTCTGTGGTAGACAATAGTAAAGCATGATACATGATAGCATGATACAGATGCTAGTTCATGAAAAATGTCCCAAAAAATCTGACTTTGTCTTAGTTTTGTGCTTTGAAAAATACATGACCGTGACTTATCTCTTTATCTCTATTGATGTTAGTTTTACGCTGCCCTGCTTCCTTTCCGAAATCCTCATCTGGGCCCGCGGTCCGTTGATCTCTACCTCAACATGTTCAATTTGTGCTCTTATCCAGACAAAGAGTGGTGAGTGTTCATTGGAATCCACATTGTGTGCTCGGTTGATGGATTTAAAAGGGTTTTAGGGGCTGATCGTGACCATGAACGTGCATCCAGGAATGAACGTGTGGAGGTGAGGAGGACACTGCCATTGAGTGGATACATCGGTATGGTGGAGACCTTCTCCAGCTACCAGAAACTGAAACAAAAGGATCCTGCGGAGGCTGAGCGTCTTTCCAACGACATCCGTACCAAGTGAGCTATTAACCTCCGACTCATCCGCCAGACTAATCGTTAACTCCCGGGCCTTGAGCTCTCACCTCCATTCACCTGGCACTGAATGCTGATTTCTTAATCCCCCCTCCCACCCCACCATCAAGCACCACAAAATTAATTTGTCATTATCAAAAACTGCTGAAATTCATATTTGAGGGCTGTCACAGTCTTGAGCATTAATCAGAAAAGCCAAGCATTGCTTGACTAAGCTTAACCGTTGAAGGCTTTTACTGCTTTGATAACACAGCCGTCATTAATTCCCTGCACTGACAGGACAGAACCGCCCGGCAAGCACAATATACGGAGAAGTGCTGAGCCGTAACTTTTACGTGGAGGGGCTGGGGGGGGGGGGCGGGAGTTTGACATTGTATTAAATTACGATGACAGTTTAGGAACATTCGCGCGCGGCGGTCGTGCTCCGCGTGTCGTGACAGCGTTTGACCTCTGTTGGAGTTGTTGTTTGTGGATTGTTTGCTTCTCGGCTCCGTAAAAAAAAAAGTTCTTACCTAAACTCACGTTTCTCTTCCACGCCAGACTGCTGTCTACCATGAAGACGTCCTCTCCTGACCCTGAACTTACAATGGTCGTGCACTACTTCTACTGGCTGGCATGCAAATCCTGATCACTCTGACACGTCTGAACATATTTGTTTCTCAGTGTTTTAAGCTTCTCTTGCCACATTGGTCGAAATTTAGTCCACTTGTTGCTCTCTGATTCTGCTGAATTTAAATTAGTTTTTTTTTTCTTCCATCCACAGGGTTAATTTTTCCGACAACTTTTGCATTTATAGCATACTAACACGATGTCATTGTGTTGATAAAAGTTTGTAATTCAACCCAAGTGGCATATCTTTGATCAAACTGTGGGTATTGTTGGTCCGATTTAGCCTATTCAACAAAAATATCTGAAAGTTAATATACAGCAGCAGTTACAATGGTGTGTTGATATGTTAGATATTTAGGGAGAAGCCCCAGGTTTTCTCTACTGTCCTTGACTCAACTTTTATTCAAGGAAAGGAGATTGTTCTGATCTGCAATTCTTTGTGTTCTGAATATCTGAAGTGACACTCCACTATGTGTCACACTCATACAAACCAAGATTCATGGGAATAAATATGGATATAATGATAGTCGTGCAAAGCTTGTAACGTTATATATCGTTATTGTGGCTTTTATCATCTCTTTCTTTTAGATTAGAAGTATTTCTGATTTTGATATATGACAACCTGCAATGAAAAAGCATTGGAGAAGTTCTTCATAGACTTTGCGTAAAATATTTTTCAAAGCTTTGGAATCAATTCTGCCGATTTGGTCGGAATTTTGTTGAAACAAGGCATTGTTTCAGGATGTCCTGATGAATCTCTCTCATTATCTTTCAACAATTTAAGGGAAAGGTGTCAAAGAAAAGAGTTTTAGAAACAGTCAGAGTTTCCAGTTCTATAAAAATAAAAAAGAATCTAAGAAACTGACACAATTCAGTGTCCCAGATTTGCTATACTTGCTTAAACAACAAAAGGTTGAGCAAGTTGCTAAGAATTATTTGTAGTGACGGTGCATCATTTTTTTAAATGAAGTGTTCTCTTTTGTACAGCTGCAAAAAAAAGTTTACTAAAAAAGTGAACTCCCCAGAGGAAACACTAGATGGAGCCCCTTCACTTGTAATAAAAGAATAGTGGGATTTGAGGGAAGTTTGTACATTTACTTTGCAAGTAAGTAAGTTTTTTTAAAATATTCACTTTAATGAAATATCCTAAATGACTGACATCACCAAACCTATTCAGGATCACTGAATAGAAGATTCCAAAGTACCAGGAACTTAACAATAAGTGAAACCACAATGTTTCTTCTACATATTACACCCCAATGTTTGATCAATCCAAAACACGATTATCTTTATGAATTCATTGGTTTTGATAATTGGTTAAAGCCTCTGACTGAAACCACACGACAGGTTTTTGTCATTAACTTCCCCTTTAATCCCAGCTCCATTACAACTACGATTGTTTATGTTCTTATTTCAAATCACATCAGCACTCGGGTAGAAAATATTAACTACTTGGAGTGTAAACAACATAACTAATTCTCGGTCCTCTGAGTGCCGTCTTTTGATGATGAAAAACCATTAAAAAAATATGCCACAATGTCCAGACACAGCTTCGTCTGATAAATAACCCTGGAATTTTTGTTCAACGCTTCATTTTTCTCCGCTTTTTTCTGCTCCTCTTACCACCCTGACTACACCTTATGAGACTCCCACCATCCGGGCCAGCTGAGGCCCTCCTGGTGTCCTCCTCTCTTGCGGTTATTTATGAGCCCCACAAATTGTTCGGGGCTATGAGAGCAGATGGTAATTAAAACACAAGTCCTCCAAATCCCCCGAATCGCAGAGAACATGTTTACTTTGAAGCGCTCTCGCGTAGGCAATATCATCCACTAAAAATCTGGCTGCACACACAAATCCACTTGCACAACAGACAGAGCGTTTATTTCAAGTTTCTGCTCCTACCAAGCAGATGTTTCACACACAAACGGTCATATGAACAAAGCTAAATATGAAAAAACGTAATACTCTTTGGGTTTTTTTTGGCATTCGTTTGGCATTTTCCTTCGGTCCCAAGGCCAAAAAGTCCAACAACCCGCTATCCTCAAAGCATCCCCTCGGTTCGTTTGCTTCTCCACACCACCACGGCGGTCATGAGGAGGGTGACCAGCACCGGCACCGTGATGAACGGGGCCAGGATGCTGACCGGCGGGTCGTGGAGGAGCCGGCCGGTCTGAGCGCAGTCGTGGAAGTAGCTCCGGTGAACCCGCATGAAGAAGTCGTCAACTATCTGATTGGGCCAGAAGCACTCCACCCTCAAAGCCACCTGGTAGGTGCAATTCGTCAGGCCCTCGTAGATCCTGCAGAGGCCAACGACACACAAACAAAAACGGGTATGTTTTTCTTACTCTTGCTTATATAACCTTGGAAGAAACTTCACGCAGTTGGATTGAAGACTTAAACAAGTCACTGACTTTTTTTTATTCTTTATTTCAAATGCAAGGCAAGGCAAGGCTTTGTATAGCACATTTCGTGTACAAGACAATTCAAATGCATACCCTCCGGATTTTTATTTTCTCCCATGTTGCCTGTTGACACGTCCTCTCAAAAGTGGAACCGGAGTAGTGGATTCCAGGGGAGTCGGAAAAACGGCAGAGCTTCTAGAATGACCGGTGGGATCAACACCGGCTAAATATAACCGCCCGGGCGGGAGAGTTCAGGGGAAATGGAGACGCATACCAACAGAGCGGCGTGCTCGGTGAAGCGTCACCCCGTACCGGGGAGAGAGAGAGAGAGAGATCCTGTTCCGGGGGCGCCGCTTGACCGCATCACTGGACGCCAAGCGGGGCAAGTGATGAGAGACACCGAAGCCCCTAAAAGTCTTTTTCACTTTCCCCGAGTGTATTTTTGGTCTTTATCCAACAGAATCCCACCTCTGTGTTGCCTCACTAGCTAATTAATTTGTCCTCAATGCAGTACTGTAGTATAAAGTCCAGTTTCCATGGCTCAGTGAAGTCTTTTCCATTGCCCAAGGGAGTTATGACACCTGGTTTGGATAACCCTGTCTTGTAAGTTAGAATGGATTCGAATGCTTTAAAGACTTCACTGAGCTTTGGGCCAGGCATGTACTGTAGTTCCTTTCAACTATGGACGGTGTAAGAGGGGAAAGAGGATCCTAATCAAGCTAGGAGCTAACGCAAGCAGGCCAGATATTCCATTGCTGTTTTTATCCAACTTGCTACAGCTGAGGTTGTGCAGATGGGTGGTAGTGGGGGGGGGGGGGATTCAGAACTGCTGTCTCTTTGTCCCAATGGATACGCAGGTTGAAAATATGCTTCCAGACTCTGTCTTTGAGCTTGGCAAGCAAGAACTGTTCCGCACAGAGAGAGACTGACTATGGAAAAAGGATAAATACCCATCAAGATCTAAAAAAGTTTTGGCACGAATGGCAGAGACTGTCCATAAGAGAACAGTAATGACAGTGAAATGTTCCTTTCTATTTGCCCTGGAAAGTCACAGACGTGACACTGTTTTTGATATGGTTTGCAGCTCCTTTGTTTTTACACTTAGCCTGATATCGCTATCTCTTTCGCCGCTTGTTTAAGTTCAAGGCCTGGCTTGGTTATTTGTGGATCACTGCTTCTTTTGTACTGTGCTATGCCTTACCGGTAGCAATAAGAGTCTGTGTTTTTTTAGGCACAGGTCAGCTAAAGGAGCTCAGTCTCCTTAGAGCCGCAAAGTATTGTCTGACGAGCACACTGGACTGGGGGACAAGTGCTAACCTCCTCGTGTAGCGAAGCAGGAACTCGGCTTATTTTTAATCAAACGGCGTTAGATGTTTTTGATCACTTAAAAAACTAAAATGATATCATTTTTCCTCTGGTTTTTAGGTGCTTGTGGCCTTAAGAAACAGCTGACCTCCACAGATGGGGGTTTTCGCCATTTTGTTCGGGTGTGCATTATTTCTGAAATGAAGATGGCTTTACTGTTATACCCATTCCCTGAATTGCCAGCTGCACTATAGCTGAGCCCAACCCCCCCGCCACCTCCAAAAGGCCACTAATTCGTCATTGTACCTTTAATCTAACTAATTTGAGCCTTTGCTCGGTTAAATCCATTGGTTTCCAAAACCAAAACTTCACGCTCTAAAGGAAACCTATTGTCCTTTAAAATAATCCCTGTCACTTGATGAAATTTAACAATACTTTATAAATTGAGATTAAAATGCAGTTATCTGAATGTTCTGACAACCCCAAACATCTTGAAATGTGTGAAAAAAAATGTCGATGGATCTATTCTAGGATTAGATTCCCCTTATTAACGTCAGTTTTGTGGCCGCCGATGATGTTAAAGCAGCATTCAATTTATATTTTGTAAGGGCTGTACAGCTTTTTAGGTGGGATAACAACAGCGCCATGATAGGAAGTAAAAATAACCGTCATCACAAATGATTGAAACAGTATTGCGTATGAATCGGGGGGGCTCTGAGGAACAACTGTCCCGGGACAAATGTTCACTGTGTGTGGCTGGTAGGCCGGCAGATGAGGCAACAAATGTCATAAACGACTAGGACGGCAGCACACACAGCCTCCGATTGTGCACGCACCTGCTTCAAAGTGTACTTGAAGACGTTTCTCGTGAAAGCGTCTCGGCCGAGATATTGTAATACAAGTCCGCTGTGGAGTGCTGTCATGTCTGTGTACTGTAAATGTCCGTGTTGGAATTTAAAATATATGTAGTCTTAAACTTCAAACGCAACGCTTTTCAGGGTCAGTGGCCGCTATTCAAGTTATGAGGAATGTGTTAAGAGTTTTGATATGCCAGTCTTTTTGTTTTAGTTTAGTCTTCTTCTGTACAAGGACTTATCTAAAATATTTCAAAATTGGCAAATTAATTGTTTTTTATCTCTTCAAAGCCCTCAATTACTATTAAAACTCACTAGCAACTTATTTTCACCGATAGTAAGTCATTTATTTGAGAACTAATAAACTAATCGTCAAACCGTTATACGATTTTCATAGTTTGAGTTCAGTGATAAGTAAGAAGAAGTGTCAATAGAAAACTGGCAAATTCCGATCACAACACATGGAAAGTGTAGCAGATGTGCAGCTAAATCAAATCAGGTCTTTGGAGACCCTCAAAAGCCGCCCTTCAAAGACCTCCATACTGCGCAACAGAGATAAAAGAAAAGGTTTATGTGCAAAGCTTCTAGTTTTTTATCTTTTATTATTCATATTTTCCAACAAAACATCTGTCAACAGTTCTCCTCCTGGGTTGCCTCAACAAGGATAACTTTATCCTCCGCAAAGGTGACCCCAGTTGTCCTTTTTATCTTTTATTGTTTTGTTCTGTTTTGAGTTATACGAGACAGGCAGACTCGTGGTGACAGACCTGGAGCCCCTGTCATCCCAGGAGAACTATGTCTTTTGAAGAATTGTAGCGCGAGGGGGAAAGCTTTCTCCTGCCTTCTGTGCCCTGAGGATTCACTCACACGTTTACAGCCAAAATAATGAACAAGACTATTGTGGAACAACAGCGGATTACCGTTCAGATCTCTCTCGAAATATACCCTCTATGAGAAAAACCATGTGTCTCAGACACAAGTGTGTCTATGTATGTGGTGGTCGTGGTATGTGGTGTGTATATATATAATATATATATACACAACTCATTTGTAGTGCTGGATGTCGCAAAGTAATTGGCCGTTCTAAATGTATCGCAGTGTTGTGTTGGATCTCATTAAAGTGACAACTTACATTCCGTACGCTGACAAGTGGAAAGAAACAAAACGCTCCATGGAATTGCACGGCAATTCCCTTCGAATAAGAAGGGTTTCAGCTTTCAAGACATCGTCTACTGGTGTTCTTTAGTCAGATACCCTGATACCCGCCCTTCGCCCCAGACACTCGGCGGGAAACTTCCCCCAAAACTTTTAGGTATGGAGGAGTAGCGGAAGGGAAGTCGAGTAAGGAAGGAAAAGAGGTTGATGGAAACACATGAAACGTCGCAAATCTTCTTTTGAGTCCGAAGAAGTCTTCATTTGCTGCGTCTGTTTTCGGCTCCTATTTAAGATGAGATTCTCAAACTCCAGCTCCAATGTGATGTGATGTGAGTTCTCAATGACGGATGGTGTAAGAGAGAAACTAAGAAAATCTCACGGAGATGAGGATGAGGATGAAGATAACTTCCTGAAACTCCTTTTCCCAATAATACATCTGGGCTAAATGTATTTGGATGTGAGCCTCTTTCTTTTGTAGATGGTGCCTTTTTAATGAGACTCTGGCTTACTTTAGCTGGCTAGCCCTCACTCGTCTGTATTATCTTTATTTTTTTTTATTTTTTTCGTGTTTGGCATTATAGCAACAGAATTGTAATCTGAGTGCCGTGCTGTGCCCGACACTTTTGCTTTGCCAAGAGAGGCCTGTCAGGGTGAGAACCCTCCCTTGATCATCCCATACTGCTTTATTATATATTTAGGAATTATTTTTGTTACATAAGTAATATGGCTAATGCCAACTTTGTTTTTATAAACTAGCCCGTAGTCATAGACTGTTTTCCATAATGTTCTAACATACCCCTATATTTAACCCAATAACGCCATTTGAATCATCTTTGAAACATACGGTTTCTCAAATGTTTTGCATTTGAGACATTTCGCATCATTTAAAGGTAAGAACTTTGCTCAAACCCCTGTTGACACAATCAAGTATACCTGATAAAAGCAGGCACAAGACTACACGAGAATAATTTTGACTTATCGCACAGTAATAGATGATTAATAGTCAAAAATGATTTCTGTTTCTTTCATATTTTGTTAAAGGGCCAAATAAAGACAAAAATAATAAATTATTTATATTTTTTCCCAATCGGAAATTAAATCTTGAATATCCCCTTGGGGATCAATAAAGTATCTATCTATCTATCTATCTATCTATCTATCTATCTATCTATCTATCTATCTATCTATCTATTTATCTGATGACTTGTGTTAAAGAAAAAAGTACCTCCAAATGCCATCTCCCTCATCATATGGTATTGTAACTGACCTTATTTACTACTTTCCACAATCTATGCTAACTGTTTGTTGTGGTTTGATGCTTTTTTCCTGTAATGCCCATGATCCGCAGTGCTAATTTACACAAAGATGGATATTTTTACTTAAAAAGAGAACTAAAACCGAGAACAAATGAGTTTAAACTTTATAAAATGTTATCAAACCACAATGTTTGAAAATCCTAATGGCAGAAACCTGTCGGTAAGGATGCTCCGAAATGCAAATTTCCCAACGTAATCTACTGTACACAGATATTAAAATCGTATAGTTTAACCGTTATTTTAGTTTGAATAGCAGCACTGCAGATGTGCAGGATGTGGACTTTTATTTTCAGTGTTATGTGTAAGTGTGTTTGCGTCCTCGTCCACTGTTTTTGTTCCATTTCTCTGTTTTAGCCTTCCAGTGAAACTCAAGGTGTCGTCACGTCTTCTTGAGTTCCGTGACGTAAATAATGGAAACCGTCGATAACACCCCCCCCGCGCCTCCTATTTTTCCTGCTGCAGCACTTGTACACACAGGCACACAAAGAGCACCATCACCAATTATTTTTGCGCCTGTCCACGAGAGGACGGCCAGCCGGGAGGGAAATCACACAGTTCTGACAGTAGCTTCTCCCCGTGGGCTCCTTTCATCGTACTCCCCGACTCCCCCTCTGACTGCTGCTCTTTCAAAAGAGAAAAAAAATAAGCTACCCAGCACAGAAACACTGTCTCACACCAAAGCAGGCGCGCACCCGATAGCTTCATCAAAACAGTCATGACTAAGATATGTGTTGAGACGGCCCAGAACGGAGTAATGTCCACGTTTAGGGAAATGTTAACGCAGATCCAACATGGCGAACGCAGCTGTGTCGGTTCTCCACCTCTTGTTACCTCTATGTTACAGACTGCTCAGCAAACTAAAGACATACACCATTCCAAATTACTCCTCCCCATTCCCAACCGGCTATATTTTACAGTAACGTTCCGGCAAAAGTTAGCTAAAGACTCCGTGTGTTTTTTGTTGACCCTAGCTTATGATTCCTGTTCTCGATAGTTTTCAACAACTCGGACCGGTTTCTAGGCCAGAATCAAGAAGCTGAACCACAAAACAGAACCAATTAGAACTTTCAAAGCCTGAGGTTTGAACGCGAGAGGTGTAAATATCTCAGAAATCGTTACCCGTTGATTAGCGCAGGATGCTAGTTAATAACCTCCATTTTTAATTGAACGTACGCCAACGTTCTCACTGCGACGCGTTCACTTTCTTTACAACACTGAGCACTCTCCGGCTTTTTTTGGTGTGGATTGTAAATGACCGGGAGCAGCTGACCTCATCTCAAGGTCACCACAAGGTCGGAGTAGGGCTGAGATCGACTTTAGACCACGGGGCTTCGATCTGAGAAAAACAGTGTCAAGGTGTTTGAACAAGAAGAAAGATGGAATATTCCTCCTTGAAAACCAAAAAAGGCCATTAAACTGAGAACTGAGAAAAACTTGTTGCTCCTCTTTCTAAAGTTAAATAAATCCAGTGAGGTCCCAATGACAAATCTAGCTTGTTCTGATCGGAGACTGTATACTAGCTTCTTTTTTTATTCATTAATATGTCTATATTCATGGTAGAGCAACTGTGGCATCAATCAAAATCAAAGATAGAAGATAAAAATTGGAAAAGCTGAATTTGTTGAGGGAAACATATTTTACCTTCATGCCATGAATCAGATTTTTTAGGGTATTCGAGTCAATGGTACCTTCAAAATATATCTATTTACTGACTTTTTTTCTTATCCTTTTTATGATCCTATTTAATGTTCTATGGACAGAAGATTTGCTATAGGTTTGCATCATCCTGCATCTTGTTTTTTGCACGGTTCCCCATGAACAGCTAATTATTTGTTATTGATTTTTGTTTTTTTCTTCCGAAAAATGGATCTCGGGCTAACTCACCGCGTTGTGTCCGGCCAGCTGCACCACAAGCCTCGGTCCAGTCCCTCCATGTCGAGCTTGAACTTGTCGAGGCACAACTGGCTGATCATGGCGTCGTAGAAATGCCGGTTGCAGCCGGACACCGACGGGAGAACCCGAGCTGTGAGTGGGAACAAAAAAAAAACAAAAAAAAGGGATAGAGGCAGTTTCACTTGAGAAAACGATTAGCAAAAAAAAAGAATAGATAAAGAAAATAGTCTCTTTTTTTTTTTTACAAAGAACAAAGACTTTAAAAAGCACCCCCCACCCTCCCCCCTCCACCCCCACTCTGTTGATTTTCTCCATAATTAGCAATATGTTTGTGGAACAAACAAGGTCGAGTCCGGGCTACAGCTACTCCCTCCGGACCTTTTTCTTCCCTATTAGGCTGTTTAGTTTTTTCGCGAATAAAAGATTTTAATTTGCAGCCGCGGTTCCCCAATCCCACTTGTTTACTTCGGAGACGGGCGGTAAACAGCCCCCGGACCTCGGCCGTCCCGCCGGACCTTGAGCTGAATGCGGCGGGAGAAGGAAGGGAACAAAGGCCCCGCCCTGTGAGAAAGGAACAGGTGGTGGTCGGGGTCGGGGGGGGGGGGGGGGGGGGGGGGGGGGGGGGGGGGGAATGCGGCGGATCTCGGTCGGTCTGCGTCGGCCTGATAAGAACCAACTGTGTGCCCGTTGTGTTTACTCGACCTCGGCCGGTTGCTCCCAAAAGGCCTCCGAACACTCAAGAGGGAGATCTAATGTGTTGACTCTGGGGTTTGAATGAGATGGGAGGAGACGGTGATAAGAAATTGAAACCCTGTTGAGATGGTGAAGCAAAGAAAAATAAAAAAAATAACATATTTATGCCCATCTGCAATAGTCCAGGGTGTACCCCGCCTATCGCCCATTGACTACCGGGATAGTCTACAAAGATCGTAGACTATCCCGGTTGACTTTAGCCGTGACCCCATTAGGGAATAGCTGGTTACCATAATGGATGGGTGGATGGATTTATGCCCCCTTTCAACAAAAACAAAGCGTCCACAACCTTGTTTGTCGTCCGTCGAGTTAGCCGTGTGTTTTGTTGCACCCGTTTTTAGGGAATTCTGACGTTCTCAACCTGAAGATGCTGGAACATTTTAGTATTCCGCGCTCCCCCCATATATATATATATATATATAGAGAGAGAGAGAGAGAGAGAGAGAGTAATTAAGGGGAAACATTATATAGAAAAGATTCAAAACAGGGGAAAAACAAGGGGGAAGAGTAAGAAACTAAAGTAAAAATATGTAATACTTAAGATTTTCGTATCAATTTCTGTATATTTGAAATTATTCTTGTTCTTTTAGGTCCTTAAAAATGTACTTGCTCTCGAATTTCTACCCACTGGTTATTCACTTGTATACTTTCTCTATTTTTTTTATGTCTCCCACTCATTTTGTCCCCACTTTAAATGCCCACCAGCCAGGAAACTAAAAGGCTGTCCATCTGTTTGATAAATGGACATGTTCACTGGAGATGGAAACTTAGAAAAGTTGTCTTCGGCGCGCAATTTGGAATACGAAACAACAACCAAACGTTTTGCAATATTCTACATTTTTCTCAAGGCAAACGGAGTAGACGAAGCATCTAAACGCCCACGAAGGAAAAAAAAAAGCCCCCACGGCTCACTGCTGCGCACTCACCTGCAAGCACCAACAGAAGCCCCAATCTGAGGAGCGAGGCGCTCTCCGGAGCCATGCCGAACGCACACTCCCCAGACTTTCTCTCTTTCTCTTTCTCTTTTTCTTTTTTGTTCAGGCTCCCTCACACCCTGGAGATCACGGTGCTCATCCCGGCAGTCCAACCGGAGCCCCCCTCTGATTCAGAACGCGACGTGAGGAGCGAATTAAAGCGCAAAAAAAAAAAAAAACCGCGCGTAAAAAGAGCCTCCGCGCACGGGCAGAGCTCTTTCCACTCTCCGTGTAAGCCTGAGCCCCTTTTCCTGCGGAGCAGCGCGCACGCACGCACGCACGCAGGGGGTGGGGCGGGAGGAGTGGAGGGGAAGGGAGGGGGTGCAAAACAAAAAATTGGCCCTAACATTTGTGTCATACATAGCGAGGCTTAGGAATCTCAGTGGAAAGTGGAACTTTAGGTTAATTAAAGTCAGTCCGGTGAAAAACGCATAACTTTTGTCTAAATTTTGTACAGATCGGGCCCTTTAGTGAAAGGGGCCCTAGGCCAAATAACTGTCATCTCACTTCTCTGGCCCTGGGATTAGTGCCAGACATAGCAGGGCTAAGGAATCCCAGTGGAAAGTCAAACTTTAGGTTATGTTAAAGTCAATCGGGCAAGAAAAGCTATTATTCTGGTTACATTTTGTACAGATGGTGACAGGGGCCCTAGGCCAAATAGCCGTCATCTCACTTCTCTGGCCCCGAGATTGGTGCCAGACATAGCGAGGCTAAGGAATCCCAGTGGAAAGTCAAACTTTAGGTTTACATTACAGTCATTCCAGTGAAAAACGCACAACTTTTGGTTACATTTTGAACAGATCGGGCCCTTTAGTGACAGGGTCCCTAGGCCAAACAGCAGTCATCTCGCTTCTCTGGCCCCGAGATTAGTGCCAGACATAGCGAGGCTAAGGAATCCCAGTGGAAAGTCAAACTTTAGGTTAAGTTAAAGTAAATCGGGCAAGAAAAGTTATTATTCTGGTTACATTTTGTACAGATCGGGCCCCTTAGTGACAGGGGCCCTAGGCCAAATAGCCGTCATCTCACTTCTCTGGCCCTGAGATTAGTGCCAGACCAAGCAAGGCTAAGGAATCCAAGTGGAAAGTGGAACTTTAGGTTACATTACAGTCATTCCAGTGAAAAACGCACAACTTTTGGTTACATTTTGTACAGATCGGGCCCTTTAGTGACAGGGGCCCTAGGCCAAATAGCCGTCATCTCACTTCTCTGGCCCCGAGATTAGTGCCAGACATAGCAAGGCTAAGGAATCTCAGTAGAAAGTCAAACTTTAGGTCACATTTTAGTCAATCGGGCAAGAAAAGCAATTCCTCTGGTTACATTTTGTACAGATCGGACCCTTTAGTGACAGGGTCCATAGGCCAAATAGCCGTCTTCTCACTTCTCTGGCCCCGAGATTGGTGCCAGACATAGCGAGGCTAAGGAATCCTAGTGGAAAGTGGAACTTTAGGTTAATTAAAGTCAGTCCGGTGAAAAACGCACATCTTTTGGTTACATTTTGTACAGATCGGGCCCTTTAGTGACAGGGGCCCTTGACCAAATAGCCGTCATCTCACTCGTCCACTCAGTGGTCATCTATTTACGGGCCCATATCTCCACAGAGACCATCTCCGAGACACGTAATAGACTCATTGTCGGTTTGAATTCGAACTCCCCTCTTGCCACCCCATTACCTGTTTTTTCTTCACACTTGGAATGGATTACCCCATTGTTCCGGAGTCCCCACCGGAGGAGGGGGGGACCCCCATTCCCAAAGCACAAAAAAGGGAAGACAATTTGCGTTTTTCACCTCGGGCCTCGTATCGGCGCGAAGAAATCTGGCGTGGCTTGGTAATGCCGATAATTGGGGTGTTTTATCTGCTTCTGGTCACGGCTGCGGATTTCATTGGTATTCCGTGCGCTGCCCACCCAGCGAGGGTGGGGGGGGGAGCGTTTTCATGGGAAAGCATCGTGTCAGTGGGTATATTTTCCGGTTTTGTCCATGGGGTTACGAGAAAAAGCCATTCATCTGGGAGGTTTTTTTTTGGTACATGTGCGTTTGCAATCCCGCAGTGAGAGGGTTGGTGGTTTGATTCCCAGATTGGGGGTTGGGGGGGGGGGGTCTCACCATGTAGGGGGTGAGTTCTCTCGGAGTACTCCAGGTTGTTAGGTCAATGGGAGACGGCAAAAATGATAAGAAACCTCAGGATTTTTGTAAGAATGACCACTGACCTGTTTACAAATTCTACTTATGAAAATGATTGAGTCGAAGGATGGATAGATGGAGATATGGTGGATAGATAGATAGATAGATAGATAGATAGATAGATAGATAGATAGAT